TTGGCGACCAAATTCGGAGGAGTCAGAACGGATTAACCGTATTTACATTGAACCTTATGGGGAAATTTGATTCAGGTCACGACCAATTCGGGTCGCAACCAGAGTCACGGAACGAATTAAGTTTGTGAACTGAGGTACCACTGTACATGAAATTGTTGGGAGAGTTCATCACAACATTTGGAACAAAATGTTAACACGCTGATGACACTTCCCATTTCTATATGCTGACATCATTAAGCAATGGCATAGCTCCCCTTAATGTTTGCCTATGAGCAATAGTGGGTTAGATGAAGGCAAGGACATTGAAACTGAATGCAGATACAACTGAAGTACTTACTGTATAAAGGCATATTATAGGTCCATGATAAATCCACCTATTCTGGATAAGATGGGTGGCTACAGAAATGGCATAAATAAATAAATAAGCAAGCCATACTCTCCTAACAGGCATACAGTTTGGAAGTGATTCTGAATCAGGCTCTTCATGGTTGCTCAGGTGGAGTTTGTGGCCAGAAACTCTTTTTATCAATTCTAACTGGCACACCAGCTGCAACCGTTCTGAGATAATAATGTCTTAAAAACAGCAGTACTCCAGACTTGACTTTTATAACACACCCTACATAGAGCTGCCTTTGTATGTACCTCATTGGTTCAAAATGCAGCAGCCTGGTTGGTTCCCAGATTATCTCTTACAGACCACGTTATATCAATGTTGACAACTCTACACTGACTGGCAATTCGTTTCTGGGTAGAATATATGTTGTTTTTAAAATTCTGAGTGGCTTTGCCCTAGGATATCTAAGAGAATGCCACCTCCTTCAAGATTCATGTTGCCTTCTGAAGTCACCTGGGAAGAATAATAGTTCCTTGGAGCTGGCCATATGTGGAACTCACTCCCCAGGGAATATGGGGCCACCATTCACCCTGGCATTGAAGAAAGGTTAAAAGCACATCTTTTCCAATTGACTTTTAACAATGTCTAGTTGTATATTTTAGAAATGTTGAGCTTTTACATTGTAATGATTATTGTAAGACTTGTTTTAATATGTCTGATTTGACTAAGCCACCAAGAGGCTTTGGAGGTAGGTTATCTTAAAAAATCAGATGAACAAACAAATAATGTAGATCCCCTGGCAGCATAAACTTAATATATTTACACTGCATTGAACACCTACATCTAATTGTTTACACTATTATACCTTAATAGGTTTTTGGCTGCCTTGGTGCTTGAGCTTCAATTAATGCTTAAATTGTTTGGCTTAGCAATTAATTCATGTAGGAGGTTGACACTGACATCCTAATATGCAAATGTATAATACTGAACATAACAGAAAGGGAAGAAATCCATAAGAGTTAAAGTTATATACATTATCTTCTCTGAGTTAAATTGTATGATAATAACTCTGGCATTTTAATAGCAAATGCTCTGCAGACAGTGACAAATCCAAAGTCTTTTCACTTACTATAAAAATTTTTTTCCTAAGTTGGTTCTAGAGTGAAAGTATAATATCAAATTGTCCCTTTTTCTTATAATGTACATTAATGTGTTGACATTATAGGAGAAGAGCCATGTTAGTCTATGGTAACTTTTAATAAAAACTTCTACCCTTTAATAAAATTTGTTAGCTAGAAAAGGTGCTATCAGATTCCTCCTGATTCTATGTGTCAGTGTACAAGAGAAAGAATGGGACAGTCACATGAATAATGCATTATTATTCAATTCTGAACCTCTTGGCTCCACATTAATATCTCAAAATGTCACGGGGGTGGAAAAACAATGACAACTCTGAAAATTGGTATATGATCCGTTGAGAGTTGACAGACTCATTTATTTCTTGAGAAATATGTCAGGAGCTGTAATGTGTGAGGAAAACAGATGTGGCCAGAATAGTTGTAATTATAGTTACAAGGTGTACATGTGTACACTCTGAGTATACTCATACAATCCTGTACACATACACACACACATATATGCACTCATAATCACCATTAAATTGTTTCCCCGCACCTAACATCACTTTATCCTGCCTCAGCCTATCTTTAAATAAATTGTTTCCCCTCCATTGATTGATGTTATAGTTTCTGGCTGATTGGTTGCCTAATGCTTGTTGAGTTTTGATTCTGAACATCCAGAGCCTGCAGAGGACATTTCCACAGCCAGAAAGAGGTCAGCCAGCCAGAGGTCAGGGAGAAAGGAAGGAAGATGTGAGCAGGGAGAAATCTGCATTATTACTGGGAAACAATAAATAAAGCCAAAGAAAGGCAAGAAGGAGGTTAGGGCGTTCCTTTGCCTGGATCTGGCTTGGCTTTATCTACATCCAGATAAATAGTTGCTACAATGTTTGAGTTACAAATCAATACATTTCCCAAACGTTATTCAGCTGTTGGAATAGCCATTATAGTTTATGGTTGGAAGCCTGCTGAATGTAAAATAAATAAATAAATAAATGATTGTTTCAGAAATTCAGTGAAAATGTCAATATCTGTGTATAATATACTGTATATGTAAAATATAGGCCACATTAGCTACAGAATTATAAAACTATAAGCATTCTGGATGGAAAAAAAAAAAAACCTCAGCCAGGAGCATAGAATTAGGCTGAAATCTGAGAACATCTGGATTTGATTCTGTGGTCATGAAGAAGTGATAGGACTTGATCCCTGTTGTGATGGAAGAAGGAACTTGGATTCAGTGATCTCTACACACTTCCTGACCATCTGTTGGACAACTCATAGTTTACTATTCCCACAGTGTTAAAAAAACCAATTAAAGCCAATAGGCTGTTCCACTTTGGTTAATTTGATAACGTGAAAGTTAACAACTTGGTTTTCAAGGATTTTTTTTTTTGATATGATAATCACATTTCTTAGTTGATAGTTCAGTTCTTTGAAACAATTACCAGTCATCTCTTTATCATTTGCAAGAAGAATTCATTAAGAGAAGGAAAATCACTAACAGGTTAAATAAAGTACGAACCATATAACCTTAACCTCTTACAGTTGTCTGTGACTATGATAACAGATTTTATGAAGGCACAGAAAATCAAAAGATCCACTCAGAGGTATGCAACCTGTGGCACTTCATAAACTATTGGGCTACAACTTCCATCATCCACTACCATGTTTGCTGGTTCTGATTGAAATTAAAGTCTAAGAATTTTAAGGTCACATATTGCCAACCTCCACCATAGATATAAAATTTTAGTACCTGTATATCAGCTCTAACCATAACAGAAAATGGAAATGTGAAAGTAAAAGAAATGCAAAAAAATGTTCAAAATACTTTTCTCCATGGCAACAGAAAGATTATTCTGAAGCAATGCATATCTGCCATGAGGACCAAATGTTCTCAGAGTTTCTGCCACAAATGAAATCCTATGAATTTAGCTGCAGAAAGCAGCGCACACCTGCCACTAATCTCCCCTTCTCTCTCTTTCCAGTCTATTGATGAAAAGCCAATAGTAAAGACTTTTGGCATTCCCTGGATGATCACAGTTATGGGCATGTAATTCATAAAGCCACTTGGCTACGTATTCATCAGGCCATTTCATTTGTTATTTCTTTTAGCCAGGCAACCACCCCTCAGGAGACCCAGAGGACCCTTCCAGTGTATGTAATGGAATCTCTGTGATGTAATTGTCAAAATCCTGGTTGCTATAGATGGCGATTATTCCAGAAAGATTACATGACAGAGAACAGATGGGCTGCTTGCCTTCTCAGCTTAAGCCCCCATCTTATGTTTTGAACATATTTTAGCACTGTGCAGTTAAATTATGCTAACTGTATTAATATGACTGCAATTCTTAGACTATAATATCAGTAATTGGGGAGTTGAAAGTTATTTCCTTTTATGGTACAAACTTTCTGAAATTGGTTAATTGTTCTGAAGAACACATAGGCACCCAAGAATCACTCTAAAATGTTATAAAAGAATATGTGAAACATCAAGAAGAAAGTCACTGTATGCTGTAGTGACAATGGTGAAACCAACTTTGATTCTTATATCAAGGCCTTTCCTTGATGTATGGTAGAGAATTCCTACTCTATCGTACTTTTATGCTCTATAATTCTCTTTTGTGTCACCTCAGCTGTACTTTTGAAATAGGAATTTATATTCATTGGAGAATGTACCATATCTATGAGCAAATGCAATCAGTATAACTCTTTTTTAAAATATCTGAATGAATTACAAAAGCTGTGCCATGATGAACATGTTTTTTGTTTTATGTCAAAACATTGATTTTCAATCAAAATTTTCAATCAAAAAATTGAGCCTATGTTTCTGAAAGAAATCATTTTGTTAGGGTCTCCTACCTGGAGCCACAGGTGTGTTTGGCACAACGAGTTAACAAATTTCAAGTTAAAAGTCTGTATGGTTCCACTACAAAAATGTGCACATACTGTTTCACTATATGTAAGTAATCAGCTAAGGTTGCCCTTTCTGAGTGATACATACATTTAAGATAAATATTTATTTAAACTTGTATTTACATATAAATGAAAGCAAAACCAAGTATTATTATTATTTTGGTAGCTTCAGATTAATATTATCATACCGACCAAGAATACTTAACATTTTCTTTCTGGAGGAGGAGGAGGAGGAGGAGGAGGAGGAGGAGGAGG